TGCTATGGTGATAACCATACATACTATGATGGAACATAATGTATCAAATAATTGTCAAAGTTTGTATTTAAAAATTCGATAACAACTCTGGCATTATGTGCTGGTACGATGCACCAGCATGTTAAGTGTCAAAGTATAACAAAACTGAATAAAACTTTACAATGAATTTCGAAAATTATGAAAAATGTAACATGATGGAATGCTATATGTTATCAGATAAGAATGCGACGTTAGCCGCGGAATTTTATTTCACAAGATATCCGGAAAGAAGACAACCGCACGTAAGAACCTTCAGCCGGTTAGCAGAAAATTTAATAGATACTTGGTCCTTCCCCAAACCACATACAAAAACATACCAAAATGACTTCCAAGAGAAATTGCAACAAGACGTCTGACCCAAAAGCGCTGCTCCCGAATATGAAAGAAAAATAAGTATAAACCATACAAAGCGGGACTAACTCATTATTTACGTGCCGGAGATGTCAATCGAAGATTAGAATTTTGTAGATGATATTTAAAAAAATTAAATAATCTGCTGTTTGTTCAAAATGTTATCTGGACCGATGAAGTCTCTGAGTGTTCAAAGAAGATTGGGGTTCAATGTATGCTGTGCCCTTTTAGATAATAAAATTTTGGCATATAGTATCTACCATGAAAACTTAAACTCAGGGAAATACCTCAACATATTAAGGCAGCACATTGAACTTTTGGTCGACAATTTGCCACTAAATATGTCTCAAATGATATATTTTCAATATGACGGAGCACCAGTACATAATGCCAGAGTTGTTAGTGAATTTTTACATACTACTACAAACTCAAGGACAATAGAATCTAACAGGACTACTACATCCATTGTTGTGACAGCCTACCCGCAAACTACGTCACACCATTTTCCACGCCCAGCTGTTGTTATGGTCTATGCGTTTGCTGTGTGTTTTTAGAGGTTATATCCTAGACGTATTCATATTAGTTTTGAAGTTTTATGTTTTTAGACGTATTAATGTCTATCATATAACCTCTAAAAACATAGACAGTTACCAGGCGTGGCAAATAGTGTGACGTAGAGTGCGGGCAACCAACCCGTAGTCGACTACAAAAATACAATGGATGTAGCAGTCCTGTTAGATTCTACTGTCCTTGCTACAAACTTTGGCAATAATTGGAAACAATGCTTTCCCTCATGGTATGGTTATCACCATAACAACATTAAGTTTTAAATACATACAATAGTTTTAGAAAGAACAAAAAAAATTGATACATTATATTCCATCATAGTATGTATGGTTATCACCATAGCAACATTAACTTTTAAATACATACATTAGATTTAGATGGAACAAAATGAATTTTTGTTAATTATTCAATAACTATAAGAAATATACCCCACAAACTATATATATTTGTTATCAGAAGAAAATAACAAATTATTTTAAGTCATAGCCAACTATGGTTTCCATTTAAAAAAATAAAGTTACGTCTAAAATCTCGAAAATAAAAGATGGGAAAAAAATTCTACCTACGCCACTGAATTCTTCGTAAAAAGTTGCCCATATAATGTTTTATTTATAATACTCCATCTTTGATAATAAGTGAGATATTCGCGATTGTTGTTTTTGCAAAATTTTCAGTTTTTGCCGATAGGGCGAAAACAAAAGACGATAGCTGTTCGGAGTTTTCGGTATTAGCATTTTCTCGAAAAACGAGATCATGACATGTAAGCTACTTTTTTTCTATCTCTTTTAGTTTCGGAGATGGCCTATGCGGACATCGAAATTGGGACACCTGTACTATAAAAATTGTTGTTAGGAGAAATTTTGAATTGCGGGGAGACTTAATTAGTGTTTCTTTACAGATTTTTTATTATAAGTAGATTCCGCTGAAGATGAAACTGTTTAAGTTTTGAGTCCGGTTATGAGTAAATAAATTATTTTAGCGAGTCAGAAGTTGTTCATTTTATTAACTTTTTATTAATAATTTTTCAAAAAAAAACCCTTTAATGTACCTGAAATTGTGTTGATTAGTGGTTTGTGGTCAGTGTAAACCAGAAATTGATTTGATTTGAGTTCCATGCAAAAAATGTTTAAAGAATTTGATAGTAGTGTATATTGCTAACAATTCTCTATCAAAAGTTGAATAATATATTTGGCTTGAAGATAACTTTTGAGAAAAAAATGTTAAAGGTTGTGTTTTATTGTCTTTATTGTCTGTTGTCAGTGATTGTGGTGATGAGTGTGCAAGAGTGACAGATTTTGATAAAAGTTCTTTGGCTGTAGTAAAAGAAATGTCGTGATGAGGTGTGCAGGAAGTGATTGATTTAAGTTTTTGTGAATAAAGTGTTTTTGATAAAGGTTGTAAAGGAGCTAAAATGTTTGAGATGTTTGGCAAAAAACTGTGATAAAAGTTTATCATTCCTAAGAATCGTTGTAATTCTTTAAGTGTAGTTGGTTTTCGAAATTTAGTTATGGCATTACCCTTAGATTGCGAAGGGCAAATGCCTTCAGCAGAAATTTGATGATTTAAGAAATTTAAATCTGTAACATCAAAAACACATTTTGTTGGTCATCCATTTGGATATTTAAAAGCAAGCACGAACTTAAACTGTGTTAATCTCTTTGTGATGCCTTATCATTATCCTGTTCTAGTGCCCTTACTAGATGAATTATTTAAGGTCCACAAACGTAAACCAACAAACGATTGGAGGAATCAATTTCAAAATTATTTAAGAGCTGTACTTGTGTATTATGCCACACCAAAATCTCTTCTACGTTTGGCAAACCCAATTATTGGAACAAATAGAAATATAAGTGCGGACAACTGGTTTTCGTCAATACAGTTAGTCCAAAAGCTGCGTGATAGGAAACTCACCTATGTTGGAAGTCTCAGAAAAAATAAACGAGAAATTCCAAAAGAGTGTTTGCCCTGCAGTAAAAGAAAACAGGGTTCCTCAATATACGGATTTACGAAAACTGATATGTTCCGAAAAAACGAAAATCGGTAATCTTAGTTTCATCAATGCATCATACGCCAGCAGTAGATGAAAACGGAAAACCAGAGATAATTGCCTATGATAACAATACTAAGGGTGGTGTTGATGCTCTTGACGAGAAATGTACTACATATTGCACATCGCGTCGAACCCAAGGATGGCCGATGGCTTTCTTTTCTAAAATTCTCGATATCTCTACAGTCAACGCTTTTATAATGTATACATATAATTCATGTAAAAATATACAGGGTGAGTCAGAAAGAATGGGAAATCCGAATACCGGAGATACTAGACACCAAAATATGATGATTTAACGTAACATCTCTTATACAAATGTCAGTGGTTTTCGAGGCATAGGGTGTTGAAAGTTAAATTCTTATTTCGAAATTTCTTGATAATTTTGAAGGTTTTTGTACTATTAACATAAAATTTCGTAGTTTTATGTTTTCGAGCATGAGAAATACGAACTTGAAACTTCTTTTGTCATTGCTCGTAGAGGGCGCTAGATACACGCTGCTCATTTGATAAATCAAATCATAAGTTTTTTGGCTCGACAGCTATGACCAATAAGAGCTGCAAACCACAAAGAACATTCAATTTTACATAAAAATGGTACTCTTATTGAAATTGTCTAAGTCTATCGGTTTTCGAATTATTTACTTTTAAATATTTAAATGTATTTTTTCTTCTAAAATATTTATTTTTTAACATAAGCAAAGTTGGGTTATTTTTCCGCTTATGTTTCGACAATTGCCTGTTAATTGTCAACATTTGATCTAATTTTCGTGTGCAATAATCATTTTTACCAACAATAAAGTTGTTATCAATTTGAAAATGCCACGATATAATGAGTTTTTTAATAGTGAGAAATCAAATTAATATGAAAATGGTCACAATATTCTATTGTTATTAATCAATTATTATTGTTATCGATTATTATCGTTACTAATTGCTATAGTTACTGTGTGTTGTTGATTTTAAATGTTAACCTTAAAATTACTTTGAAACAATTAAAAGCAGATAACTTGGAAACCAGTAGACTTAGACAATGTAAGCAAGAGTACCTTTTTTTGTGCAGAATTGAAAACTCCTTCAGATTTCTGGTTTTAATTCACCATACCTCAACTGACAAAATAGTCATGACTTGATATCTCAAACATAGAGTGTGTATCTAGCGCCCGCTACGAGTAATCACAAAACAAATATCAAATTCGTATTTCTCATGCTCGAAAACATCTAACTACCAAATTTTATGTTAATAGTACAAAAACCTTCAAAATTATCAAGAAGTTTCGAAATAAAAATTTAACTTTCAACACCCTGTGTATTAAAAACCACCGACATTTGTATAAGACATGTTAGGTTAAATCGTCATATTTTGGTGTCTAGTGTCTCCGGTATTCGGATTTTCCATTCTTTCTGACTCACCCTGTAGAACAAATCGAGAGACGAGAATTTATGAAAATTTTGGCTACTCCCCAGATGGAAAGAAGATTTCAAAATTCTAATATGAATAGAGAGATCCGGATGCTCATCGCAAATTCTTTAAATCTCAAACAGCCTCCTCCAGAACCCAATACAGAAGATTTGCTACAAACCCGAAATATTTATGTCCTAGCCGATCACATAGAAAAACAAGGTATTTGTGCCATATGTGTCATCGCTGATTTGCCTGGACTGCTCTAAGAAAATATGGAAATAGTGCATTGAAGAAAAATACTAATTCTGTTTCTTTATAGTTTCAATTTTTTATAAAAATCTATTTGTTTTTTTTACATTAGCAAATTAAATATATGCAATATAACTGCATTGAATTAAGAAACTATTAATGTAACCACCAAACGGCGAACATCGTTTTTACAATAACAGTAAGTACCTATGGTGTAATTAAAAAACTCTCGGTACGTTTTTTTCGATACTTAGATCAAGATAAAATAATTCATTGTAGTTATAAAAGCACAATTGAAAAACTTGAAAAAATTGTTGTGCATGACATTACAAAAAGATATGACACACTTATTCAAAAGAGTAATAACATTCTTACAAAAGGTTGAAATGAGAAATAATTCGTTCTACATCGTTGCTACAGATAAAAAAATAAATCTTTTGTTATGAAAATTATTAGAATCAAATAAAAACAAATTTGATGACTTTAACATTAGTTTCTTAGCTAAACAATGAGTTTATCTTTATTTAAGAAAATCCTAAAAGCATAATTACACCTTCGCAAATTGCTATTAGTTTGTATTCGTAAATTCTTTGACAAGTTGAAAGTAGATGATCGTTTTGTTATAATCTTGAGAATAGAAGATCCACATTATTCAGTCTCACTAAATGTTAATCAGTTGCAGATTTTTGCTAACGTGGGTCGAGACAGAGGCATCCGTTCTTTGCCAACGAAGGACTCGGCAAGGTGTGTGTTCGCGTCTCGTTAAATGCCTCTATTCATACGTAATAGGTTCAAACTCAAGTTACAAAAACAATCATCACCGTGCCAATTAGTCGCAAAGATAAATAACGAATCAATATATCGAACTTGAGTGTTGAATAATTAATTCGATTTGAATAAATGTGGGATTAATCAGTTTTATTATAGGGTGATTTTATTAAGTCGTACATCATCGCAATTTAATCGACCCTATTAAAGAATCGGTCGTTTGTAAAGTCAATCGTTTCGTAATCTTTGCGTTTTCTTCGATCGTACATAAGAGTATCGTGATCTTGCTTGTCCTCAGTTCTAATTTATTAGCTTCTGCAGATTGCTGGTATTCACGAGTCTTCTTTTAACTGGCTTTGACCAATGGATTGATTGATTTTAATCATTTGTCACATATCTCTTAAAATAAATAAAAATAATTCATTTTTTGTTTTAAACGTAGATAAATTAAATCGGTAAATGTTTACTTTTGTATACTATCTTCTAAAAACCGAGTAAATTTAATGCAAATACGATCTTGAAAAGCGCCAATAAACGCAACCTTGCCTGTGATAAATTCTTTGGTATGTTTGTTTTTAAGGTGTGATGAAAAATAATTCGTTTACGAAACTAAAACTAAATGACGTTTTTTTTGGTTAATCTGAAATGAATTAGTCCAAATTCTGAATATTTTAACGTTTTGTAACTAATCGAACGTTATAAAATTGTATTAATTAACATTTTAGCCTAATTAACTTATTGAGCTACTTTTGGAATTTACGTTAATTTGTTATTTTAATGTTTATAATAATTTTTAATTAGAAAAAAGATTTGAAAACTTGCAAATTTAGGAGAAAACGCGGATGCCAATTAAATTTGAATCCCCCCAAAAATTCTAATTTCGAAAATCTCGATCGAATTGTCGTTCTCGTCGTCCTTTGACGTCGTCGAACATCCTGCACAGATACCTTTATAAGGATCAACCTGGCCGCGTGGTCGTTCAGTCTTTTCAGAACTTTGATTGAGCGAACGAAGACAACAATGAGAAAGAGCGTCTTGGTAAGTGGATCATAGATCAGATTCATTCCAAGGTTTAATTTTTTTTTCTATCCTCTTTCTAATTTTTTCTTTAATATTTTGTACCCAATAATAATATTTCTTCATCAACAAAAAGAAATTCTTGCTTTAAAATTAAGTTAATTAAAATTGTTGCAACTAAATTGTTTACTTATTATTTCGAAAAATAAAAAAGGTGTTATAATGGGTTGTAATGGTTGAGTCTGAGCAAATGTTAAACAGGCTATAATGTTAACCTTTCACTCAATTTATCCAGTTTAACTCTTACGATCTCTATTAAAGTTGTTTCATGTTTTTTTTTATTTAGAAATTATTTCTGACTCATATTTAACTTTAAACATGTAGAGATATTTACATCAAAATATTTAAATCTAATTTTCTTTTTATTATTGTTGGTTAAGTGAGAGCATCTTTTTCGCGTAAAAGAAGAAACTGAATGAGAAATATCCTGATTATGAAATAACCTCAGTGTGACATTTTGAGATTTTGTAATTTTACGTGTGTTATAAAATGGTTTTGATTAGCATTTTAACCCAATTATACGCATCTTATTGAGCTACTAATATTTTCGTAATACTTTCAGCTTATTTTATTTTCAATCTTTTGGGTGTCCAAAGCGGACGTCTCAGAAATTGTCGGTCGGTATTCCTCCGACAATTCCGGTCAATACTACCCAGATGATAGCGGTCGTTACATACCCGATGACAGCGGAAGATACATCCATGTTCCGAACCCATACATCCATGACGATCAACCCTACGTACATACGCCGGATGTTTTTGGACCCAACGGTCCCGGTGGACCTGGAGGACCTGGTGGGCCAAGAGGACCTGGAGGACCCGGAGGCCCAGGTGGTCCAGGAGGTCCAGGAGGCCCAGGTGGACCACGTGGTCCTTTCGGACCTAGCCCCATTGGTTCAGAAACAACGGTTGATATAACCCGCACATATCTTCCGGTGGATCCACGTCCTATTCCGGTAGCTTCTTCGAATGTTCCTACTGGAATCGCTCCTCCATTTAATAGAATACCAGGTGGTGGAAAACAAGTGGATGTGAAAACTTTGCCTAATTATAAAGGAAGTGGACCGTTTAAATGGTCGTAAGTAGTCTAGAAATTAATAACTAATTATGTTAACACATGAAATATATCTCAATTTGTGCTTGATATATGTTAAGTTATTGTGTTTGAAATCTATAACAATCATTTAAAAAACTTTAACAACGGTGTTTATGAAAAACAAGAAATTATTTGTGGCGAGTGTCATCTCGACTAATTTTACTTTAAAATGTTTCTTATTTTATCATAATATCTAAATTTTTTCGTGAGATACGATATTAAAAGTTAAAAATGAAAAAAAAATACAGCAACCAAGTTTATGAAAAACTTGGAAAAACTTTTTGTTTCATCATTACAGCTAAATTTATTCTTGAGATACGATGTTATAAATTTCTATTCTTAAAATCTATAAATACCAAATATGCAACATTGGGTTTAAGAATTCAAGACGAGGTTTATGAAAAATTGTTTATGGTACATTAAATCTTTATTTGAAAATGTTTCTTATTACATCATCACATTTTTGAGATACTATTTTCCAAAATTCCATTATTAAAATTTGCAACAACAAGCACGCAGATTTAAGTTGAAATAGTCATAAGAAAACTTATAGGCATCAGCAAGGTCGTCATGGCTCATTAAATCTTGATTACATTTACTTTAAAATGTATTGTATAAAGGGACGGACCGTTGAATTTGGTGTCCTGGGCTATATCACTTAATAGAGCCATATCCTCACCCCACCCCTCTATTTGAAAAAAAATTATAATAAGAAAGAAAAGGTATTGTACCAATAACATAAACAAAATAAATAATGTAAAACAAAAAAATGTATTGCATTTTGAGTATTACATTCATAAAATGCAAGTAACAATTAACGAAACAAAACTATACATATATTCTTAGGAATAAGAAAATAAAATATAGGTATAATAACTATTACACATAATGGAACAGTTAAAGATTAATCTTTCTGCACTTTTGTGCAGCAAAGTCCTTTATTTGACATAACATTTCACATCTTTGGTCAAATCACTATTTAATGCCATAATTGTTAAATAATTTATTCTTTCATTGGACATGGTTGTTCTCTATTTACTTTCTATATAAGACATTCTAGAAAATGATCACCCCGCCTCGCAGCTCGTGATTGGCAACGTTAAAATTTTTTTAAAAATTGTGTAAGAATTAGGAAAACATCGACCAGCTTCATATCAAAAATCGATTTGAATATATCACTGCAAGACTTACACAAGTCGGACTCATTGATCTGCAAGTGCAACTTTAGTTGAGTTAATTCATTTAACAAATGTTGGTTAATATCATTGGAATTATAAGCGGTAATATCTCGCGCACTTTCCAGTTCAATTTTCGATATATTTTTGTCTTGCAAATCCATTAAAAAATTAAATCTTTTACTAAATACTTTATAGGCATTATCTCTTTCATTTCACTCCAAGACCATATTGTTTAAAGCTACAATTAGTGTCTCCCGATTAAAATTTTCAGTCCCAGCACGCACTAAGATCTTTTCCGTCTATTTGTCAGAAAATTTTGAAATAATCTTCCTCTTATTTATATCACTTTAGTCTTTTTCTAATTCTGTACCCAATTTGTTCGTTGCCTTTTTATATTCTCTTAATCTTTCATCTGATTGCTCCCGTATGTGGCTAAGGAATATTACTAATTAACTAATTAATTTCACACCTTCACATAAGTCTAGGTCTGGGTTTTTTGTTTCGTTGCTATGTAATCAACATTGTTATCTCAAATAGAACGCATATATTTTTTTTTGCATATTTTGATAGAGAATATTTCCTTGTATCTGATGAACATATCATATTATAAGGTTGTATAAGAGAAAACCGAGAAAATTTGCATTTTCTAAAAATACTAAATGAGTAAATTAGAAGGGCCCAGGACCCTGGGCTGCTGCCCATAAAGCCCATACCTAAATCCAGGGTTGATTGTATACCATTAGTTATCCATTTGTTCTTGAGATGGAACTTATTAAATTTGTGTTATTATAATCTATAACAATCCAACATAGAGAATCAAGTTTCAAAAATCNTAAGCGGTAATATCTCGCGCACTTTCCAGTTCAATTTTCGATATATTTTTGTCTTGCAAATCCATTAAAAAATTAAATCTTTTACTAAATACTTTTTTCGCCTCCCATACCTGAAAGTAAATCATATCAGCCCTAAAAAAATAACTGAAAGCTAGATTTTCGGCCCTTGGGATTCTAAACTCTGAACGTCCCTACTTTATAGTTTTTCATTACAATCTAGTTAGTTTTCATTGACATTTGCGGACATTTTTGACGTTTCTCATAATTTTTCATTAAACGTCAGTTGAAATCAAAACTGCTTAATTGATTTATAAAATTAGTTTTATTTTATATTTTTGCAATTTTGTTTGGTTTAATGGGAGGCGAAAAACAGTTGTGTGTCACACGTGCTGCCCTCGCTCGCTCGGGCATCTAATAGCCTCGGGCTGCTAATGCTTATTTTCTGCCCTTGAGACACAATATACTATATAGGCATTATCTCTTTCATTTTACTCTAAGATTAACTTGTCTAAAGATACAATTAGTGTCTCCCAATTAAATTTTTCAGCCCCAGCACGCAATAAGATCTTTTCCATCGATTTGTCAGAAAATTTTGAAGTAATCTTCCTCTTATTTATATCACTCTAGTCTTTTTCTACATCTGTACCCAATTTGTTCGTTGCCTCTTTATATTCTCTTAATCTTTCATCTGATTGCTCCCGTATGTGGCTAACGAATATTACTAATTAACTAATTAGTGAAATTAATTCACATAAGTCTAAGTCTGGGTTTTTCGTTTCGTTGCTATGGTAATCAACATTGTTATCTCAAATAGAACGCATATGTTTTTTTTTGCATATTTTGATAGAGAATATTTCCTTGTATCTGATGAACATATCATATCATAAGGTTGTATAAGAGAACACTGAGAAAATTTGCATTTTCTGAAAATACTAAATGAGTAAATTAGACCGGGCCCCTTGATGGGCCAGGGCACTGGGCTGCTGCCCATAAAGCCCATACCTAAATCCAGGGTTGATTGTATACCATTAGTTATCCATTTGTTCTTGAGATGGAACTTTTTAAATTTGTGTTATTATAATCTATAACAATCCAACATAGAGAATCAAGTTTCAAAAATCTTAACAACGATAATTATAGGAAACAAGAAATTATTTACGGCTATTTAAATCATTATTTATTTATTTATCTATAAGAATTCAACATCCAGATTTATAAAATCGTAGATCGTAAAATCGTTGATGTATTTCAATTCGGTTATGAGATCTAAACTAATCTTCTAAACACTCTTTCTTCAAATTTATAATAATCAAACATGTAAAGTTGTAATTAAGTAATAATAAGGACGATTACAAAATACTTACGTTTATACAACTTTAATATTGTTATAAATGTTGGGGACTATGACTGTCCTGTATTTAGTTAATTTATATGTATATATTCGTTAGATATTACGTGATCTGTCTTTTAATTGCTAATCTGCATTTGTTTCTATTTCTCTCCAACTCCTCCTTAGTTTTTCTTCTTCCCCTGATGTCCAGAGCAGTACCTTCTTTGGTAGGTCTTTACCCATTTTTTGTATATACAGGATGGTTCAGTTTTTAATATTTTTACACGGAAACTATTATCTTTAAGGAAAAAACTAAAGAGACAAAAAAGTACCAATAATGAATAAGCTTTACAACCCATATTTGTTTATGTTAACATTCCATGGCGTTAAAAAGTTGTTATAAAAAAATCAAAGGGGTTGTGAATTTCATCCCCTTAGAGGGCGAAATTTCAAATTCTACGGTTTATTTATATCCGAAATAAAAGATAAAATGTAAATTTTTGACGCAACTTCGACAGCTCACAGCTCGAAAACAAACGAGTTACGACCTTACGTTTATACAAAAAAACTTGTGTTATTTTAGCAATATGTACATGTCTATTTAAGTTGGGCAGTTTTCATGTCATGTTTTACTTTCATTATGTGTTTCTAATTCTTGCTAGTCTAGATTTTCCAACAGCTCTTCTCCAACAATTCATTTCTGTGGATTTCAGTGTTGTGTGGTTATTTGTGTAAATATAAACAAATTGTAGCTGTAGTTTAACTATCCTAGTTTAATTCTCTTAATTGTGAATCCTCTCTTATTAATGTTTAAGTCAATGGAAATGAATAATTTTTTATTTGCAATTACGACCAAAAAAATATTATACCCTTAATAAAGGTTGGAAACCATATTGTTGAATTCTCAAGATTGAAGTGGAGAACACGAAATAGTGAGTTTATTTGTATTGGAGTGTATTATACTGCATTGAATTCACTTCAAGATTAGCACGCCTGTAGGTGTTTTTCTGCCTGATAACTGATAACTTTCTTTTGTCCTTCTGGCTTCATTTCAAATACTTTTGGTAGGTGTATTACATATTTCATACGGAAGAAGTGTACATTCTTTACGTTATGTTTTGGTTGTAAAATGTAGATTGTGACTGTTTTGGGGTTGAGAAAATATTAGCTCTATTGAGAATGAAACAAAGAGATAACTTACGATCAAATGTTATATTGTGAAATTAAATGACACTCGTATACAGTACACTAAATACTAATTTATTCAAGTTAAACATTACAACGAACGATACAGAACTGATTTTCGACCTTGCTCTTACGAATAATACAAGAAACAACAAAATAAATTCAAAATACAAACTTTAAATAGTGACAGACGTAGACTTGCATCTCTATTTCTGATCTCTTCTGATTTTCCCTACCACTTTCTGCTTATCTTAGATATTTTGTGTTAAAAGATGCCGTTATTTTGTATCAATTAATGCTCGCCATTCTGATCCATACAGCTATATAGGACTGTTATATTGCATTCAGTCTTTGATTGACATTAAGTCTCTTTCTTAGTAAATGTTATTTAATCATTTAATTATATTTCTGATTGCAAAGTATGGTGATGGATTTATCTGTTAATACGGAAAAGTC